TATTCATTATTTTTAAGTCTAACTCTTGGTTAATAGAGCTCATAATGTCGCTAACCACTTTAAGAGTCCCTTCAAAACAGCAACAAAAACCGTAATGTCAGCAAGAAACCTGTGGATGTTCTCAGCCTTTTAATTCGATATTACTGGGAAACTAAATGCCAAGGCCCAGCTCTGAACCCTGGAAATGAACCAAACAAGAGGGATACAAGTTAGTCCTTAGAGCCCACTAGGGCCACACTTAAAATGATAGTAGGCGAAGAGTTCTATTCTGGTTTTGTACCAAAATGTGATTGTGTAAACTAGCACCACTTAGCTTACTTTTAACAATACATTTGAAGGACTGTAATAATGTCAATTTCCTAGTAGGACAGAGTTTTGAACAAATGTTACTATGGTTGGAAACTGGGAATGTATAAAAGGTAAATATTACATTTTGTGAATATAGAATGACACCAATAATAAAGTATGTTTTAAAATATAAAACAAGAATACATAAAAATTTCAAAAATAGTCAAAAGCAGCAATTAGTTAAAGATCAATCCACTGTGTCTTCGTTTTCCCAATTTATGTCTCCTTTGTAGCAAGTAAACACATTAAAGGTTCCCAGCCTCTCTCCCTTTACAACTTTCATTCAACCACAGATCTTAGGAGATCTCTTACCATACCCCCTCCAGAGATTCCCAGAAATAGACCCAAACCCTCTCACAACATACAAAGCAGTTCAAATGCATCTCCTGCCTATCTTTCCAGTCTTGGATGCCTAATGTCCCCAACCATGCAGTCCTCTCTTGGATCCACTCCTGGCTTAGCTAGCGGGGTTCACCTCCTGGAATGCTCTTTCCTGCTTTCCACCAGAAAGAACTCAGCTTTTTTCCACCTTTGCAATACCTTCTCTCTCTTCTTTAAGCCTTCCAAGCCCTCTGCACCCTCATCAGAACAAGGCCCTCTTCTTCTTCATGCTTCAGTTGACCATTGTTCATAGTTCAGCAATGAACTATAGAACTTGAATCTCACAGCTTCAGCTCCTGGGAGGCACATTACCTGCTTCATTTTCCCTGATATCTCAACCTCTCCACACTCAGGACCTAACACCAGGAAGCAATCAAATGTTGACTCAAATAATGACTTTAGTGACTTTCAAATGAGCTTCTGTTACCCAATGAGTCTAAAGCAGTAAATGTCTTAAGTCCACAGCATTTGCTCATTAACAGTGCATTGAAGACAGAAAGACAAGAGAGAGAGAGAGAGAAGGGAAAAGGAGGAGGAGGAAAGGAAGGAAGGAAGGAAGGAAGGAAGGAGGAAGGGAGGGAGGAAGGAAGGAAGAAGGAGGAAGGGAGGGAGGAAGGGAGGCAGGCAGGCAGGCAGGAAGGAAGGCAGGCAGGCAGGCAGGCAGGCAATGTTGTAAAAGTCCAAAAGTAGATCATATGAGACAATTACTAGAAAAGTTTGGTTGGGTGGTGATATGTACAGTATCACTGTATAAACAGTAAAAAACAAACAAAAAAAGATAAATTTTCTTATCTGTCTCCACTGAAGAGAGAAGTTACTCTGACTTGAGGGATGAGAGGTAGGGATGAGATACAGGACCACAGAGGCAAAGCCCATCAGGGACATAGTAGCACTTTCTATGAGGACATCCACCACTAGGTACTGTAGTGTACAACAATGTACAGCAATGTACATATGCCTGTATATGTGCAAAAAAATTAGACAAGCTTAGGTATGCCAAGTAACCTACAAATTATAATGTCTGCTTCTCATCTGCCTAGGAAAGATGGGTGAATGCCAGCTGCTGGTGACTCATACCTATAATGCTACTGAGGGAGGCCAAGATTTGAGGTTATGATTTGAATCTGGCCCAGGCAGACAAATCTGAGAGACTCTAATTTCTAATGGATGAGTAAAAAGCCAGACGTGAAGCTGGGCTCAACTGGTAGAGCACTGGCCTTGACCAGTTACTAAAAATTGTCCTGAGAAATGGGAGAGAAAAGGGCTGATGGTGGCAAACGTGAGCAGGCACTCTGAACTGGTTAAGTAGAAATGAAACAATGGGTGTGAAGCATTTGTCAACGAAACAAATTCTGAGGATAGACTAAAGCTATCTTTAGAATTGTATGAGCATGAAACATTTCAGGAAAATCTGGAGGCTATGCTTCAGCAATGTGAGGATGATGTCCAAAACACCGGAAGACACAGGAAAGAGCAGGGGTCAGAATCGTGAAGGTGGCTCTGCAGCCATCCACAGAGAAACAGGACATACAGGACTCTGCAACAGAGGTGTCCAGGAAAAAAGGCAGTGATAGACTACCTGGTGTGAGTGAGCATTTAAAGATACTACCAAAAGACATGAGAACCCTGGAGCAACCTCCAAGGATTTCTTGGTTGGAGTTTACCTATGTGAGGAGAGAAGGTGGGTGGTTACTCAGTACAGGAAACAAAAAGCTGTGAAGGGATGAAATTGGAAAGTAGTGTCTGACTTTACAGAAATGATATACAGAAGTCTATTGAAAAATGTAAACAATGATCAAAATACTAAGTATGGAAAAGTGAGACGGATTTTAACAACTTCACAGGTATTGCCTAAGTAAACCAAGAAGCAGATATATCCCTTAAAAATGGGAAGAGTCTGAAGTAATGAGTGTGAGAATGATTGCTCCACATTATAAATCTTTAGAAATGGAAGTGGTGCTGTAGCTCAAGTGGTAGAGCACTAGACTTGAGCTGAAGAGCTGAGGGACAGCGCCCAGGTCCAGAGTTCAAACCCCACCACTGACAAAAAAAAATTCTTTAGAAGTATTGATCTTTAAAAACTAATGTTTTGAGCCTGGCACCAGTGGCTCATGCCTGTAAATCCTAGCTATTCAGGAGGCTGAGATCTGAAGATCATAATTCAAAGCCAACCCGGGCAGACAAATCCAAGAGACTCTTATCTCTTATGAGCAAGAGGCTCAACTGGTAGAGCATTAGCCTTGAATGATAAAGGTAAGTGACAGTGTCCAGGCCCTGAGTTCAAGCCTCAGTACCAGCATAACAACAAAACAAAAACAGGAAAACACTAATATTTATAATACAAATGATTTACATTTTAATTAATCATAGTTATTAAATAATTACAGGAGTAATCACATGAAATAAAATAGTTGAAAACCAGTCTGGGGTGCAAGCTCAATGGGAGAGCAGTTGCCTAGCATGTGTGATCCTGAGTTCATAACACACACTAACACACACACACACACACAAGCAAAACAAAAAACCCAGATGTGTGATCCTGAGTTCATAACACACACACACACACACACACAAGCAAAACAAAAAACCCAGATGTGTGATCCTGAGTTCATAACACACACACACACACACACAAGCAAAACAAAAAACCCAGATGTGTGATCCTGAGTTCATAACACACACACACACACACACACACACACACACAAGCAAAACAAAAAACCCAGAAGCCATTGTGTATAATTTCTTACTAATATTATTAAAGCTCAATAATAACAGAGAAGAACTATTGCTACAATAAATACAAACTGAGAAAATACTATTCTTTTCTCCCATAATTAGGAAGAGACAGTATTTCACTCTAAAAATGTTTTAATTTATCCTTTTTAATGTAAATCATCATGCTTACAACATCCAAACTGAACATAATTTAGAAACAGAACAACTATCTCCAAATGAATACCTATTTTTACCCTTGAAAGATCAGAATTATTTTAATACCCATTTCTAAGAATTTAAATTCTGTAAATGCACCAGTAATGACTTTTTAAAATATAGGAATAGAATCAGAAAATTAGATTGAACAAAAATGGTGAAAGAAGGAAAGTCATTTAGGGGGAAAAAAAAACCTTGATTCTCTAAAATGATTTCAAATTAATATTCTGGCTTTCTATAAACCTAAAACTTATTCAAGTATGGAAAAGAAGTCTCTTACCTCCAATTTTACCCTAAACATCTGATTCTTAATATAAAATAATAAAAACATGTTATATGTCATACTACAAAATTGTATATGTAACAAACCATGTCAATAAAACTATGCTGATTAATTCTATATGGAAGTTCTACTTCCCACTATGGACAAATATATATGAAAGTTTCTTTGTACATTCTATGTACATTCTTTATATATTTAAAGTTTTTCTAAGATCAAAGGAATTTTTCAGAAATAGAGTCTTAAGTACTTTTCTTTTAAAACTCTAGATAAAAAATGAACTATGCAACTTGTGGGCAAGGATAAGAAGGGGAAACTGAGGGAAAGCAAAAGAAGGGGTAACATTTTCTGAAAAAGAAATATACTCATTAACTGATTTATATCTTAATAACAATAAAATTATATTTTTATTTAATTTTTTGTTGTTGTTGTTGGTCGTGGGGTCTGAACTCTGGGCCTGGGCACTGTCCCTCAGCCTCTTCAACTCAAGGCTAGCACCCTACCACTTGAGCCACAGCACCACTTCTGGCTTTTTTCTGCTTATCTGGTGCTGAGGAATCGAAACCAGGGCCCATGCATGCAAGGCAAGCGCCTTACCACTGAGCCACCTTCCCAGCCCTAATAAAATTATATTTTTAAAATAAATGGAATGAAGTCTATTTAAGGAAGAAATATAGCTAGGCACTGGTGGCTCACACCTGTAATCATAGCTACTCAGGAGGCTGAGATCTGAGGCTTGTGGTTCGAAGCCAGCTTGGGCAGGAAAGTCTGCAAGAATCTTATCTCCAATAAACTACTCAGAAAAAGCCAGAAATGATGCTGTGGCTCAATGGTAGAGTGCTAGCCTTGAGTCAAAAGAAGTTCAAGGACAGTGCCTAGCCCTTGAGTTCAAGCCCCAGGACCAGCAATAAATAATAAATAAATATATTTATGCATAAGAAACAACTGAAGAGGCAGGAATAAAGTATAACAAAGAAAGATTCTAAATTTAAATATTGCAAGTAAAAAATAAATATAAAAAAGCTACATATCAATACAGAGTAAGTTGTCCACTTACCTGCCAGATAGAGTGCAAATGATATAAACCTATGGTAGCGAATGAGGAACTGAAGTTGTTCTTCTCTCTGAACAAATGTAGCAAAGTAATCAGCTACGGTTTCTCCATAGAAAAAGTAGTTGACACACAGCAGAAAGTACCTAAAATTAGTAAACAGTCAGTTCTTTTATATTTAAGGCTTTTTTCTTCCAAACCCAACAATTATTCTCTTTTTTTTTTTTTGTCAGTCATGGGGTCTGAACTCTGGGCCTGGGCACTATCCCTCAGCTCTTCAGCTCATAGTGCTCTAACACCTAAGCCATAGCTCCACTTCTGGCTTTTTCTGCTTATGTGATGCTGAGAAATCAAACCCAGGGCCTCCTGCATGCAACACAAGCACCTCTACCACTGAGCCACCTTCCCAACCCCTATTCTACATATTTTGATAATAACACAAAGATCAACACAAATTTCAGAAAACTAAATATATAATATTCAAAATATACTCCATCACAATGTAGAAAACACTATGTTTTCTCTATCCATCTCTGTTTGCATGTCTGTGTCTTTCTTTCTCTCTCTCTCTCTCTCTCTCACACACACACACACACACACACACACACACACACACACACACACACAGGGTCTTAAATTCCTAATGAAGATCAGCCCTCAAGTATGGAATTCTATGCTTCCACAAGAAAGAATAACATCACCTCATTCATAAGAAACTGGAAAGACTTGAAAAAATCCTATTAAGTGAAGTAAGCCAGACACAAAGAAACATAGGCTCCAGGGTTTCTCTCATTTGTAACACTTTTGAATAATAGCATGTGTAAGTCATATCCCCGCCTGGCCTAAAGAAGATTAGCTGGTACACAGTGTTACTGTTCTTCTTCTGCTCTTCTCAATGGCCATGTGGACTCTGGTTGAATAGTGGTTCTTAAAGGGCACGTGAGGGATGGGAACAAGCAGCAGGTAAAACTCTCTAGGAAAAACCTTTTTAAGCCTCCATAAATTCCCTATCCCAGTTCTCCTATGTTCCGGGACCTCCCTCAGACAGGTTAAGCCCAATGAGATTATGCTGATAGTTGCTTGTAAGGGCCAGAAGAAAGGATGGGGAACAAGTGCCTGTGAGCTCCTTGGCGCCTCTTCATCGGAAGGGCAGAGTCCTCGATGGCTAGAGAGCAGTGAAAGAGAGGACTGGGCTCCAAACCTCACCAACTAAACCCCACCAATTCCCCAAATCCAGAGCATGTGATCTCATACCTATCAATTGGATTACGATTTTTTCCTAAACTGACTTTGACTACCTTGTAGGGCTAATCAGGGTATAGTCTAGTCCAGCAACCCACCTTCCAGTTAGTGTCCCGCAATAAACACTTTCTGCCCAGGAGAACCAGCAATATCTCATCAGTTCCAGTATGTGCTACATCTATCTATCTAGCCCACATCTAGGGACAGTGGGTCTTGCTTCTCCAACCCAGAATATTCTTTTCTACCATACATTGTTTTTGAGTCCCCAGTGCAGAAATATAGGATGTGCATCATGATGCCAGGCTTGGAGGAGCCTGTTTTGATTTCAACTTTCTTTTTTCTACACTTAGAATCAATCCTGCATGGTTTACCGCTGAATTTTCTCCAACTAGTTTATCTACTTGACATTTGCCACTCATGGAAGCCTACTAGGAGAAAAACAAGTCAGGTATAATCAAAATCAAGGCATTATTCTTTTGACTATTCTAAACCTCAAAGGTGGTTTCTTGGCTAATACAAAGAAAACAATTACGTCAGAAGGGAGAATGATGGAAGGAGTGAGTTTGACCACAATACATTTGTATGCTTGTATGAAAGGTTACAATGAAACTCTCATTGTACAATAAGCTAAAACAAAATCTTAAATTAGGTTCTTATGAACTACTATATTATTACATTTCCTGGTCAATGTCTTGATAGCTATGAATAGGCTTATACCTATAATCCTAATTATTCAGGCATCTGAGATCTGCTCATCATGGTCAAAACCAGCCCAGGCAGGGATCTCTATGAAACTCATATCCCCAGAAGTGGAACTACGGTTCCAGTGGGAGAGTGCCAGCCTGGAGTGAGAAAGCTAAGGGTCAGTGCACAGGCTCTGAGTTCCAGCCTCGGCAAGCAGCTCCCTTCCCCTGGCCCACGTGCACACACTATAAAAATTTAAATATTAAAGATTATTTGGTGATTTTTATAAGTTAATGTGCACTTGTATAGAAAAATATTTTATATCAATTGATGGGAAATTAAAATTATAACTAAACTGATAAAAGACCATAAAAATGCCTGATACAGTGAGTGGTGTTGTCACTCAAGTGGTAGAGCACTAGAGCTGAGGAGCTCAGGGCCAGGGCCTAGGCCCAGAGTTCAAGCCCCACACCAAAAATAAAAAAATGCCTGATGAATTCTTGTTCTTTTAAAAGACGTAGAAGGGAGATACATGCATATACACACAAACACACGCATACACATTCATCATACATTAGGTATCCCTACAAGGACCAAGATAGGAGATAGGGAAAGGGTTGTGATGGAGTGAGAGTAGTAAAGATCACATTCTTTTTTTTTTTTAACCAAACCAAACCAATAACATAAACTGAGTGAGTATAGGCTGACCTGGATGCTTCTTTTACAAACATTAGAAATGCATCAATTTGCATCTCTGAAACAGTTTCGTGTTTACTCACCAGCTCAGTGTTCGAAACCACGGAAGATCATAAGAATGATAGACTCTGTAGCCTATAGTGATAATTTCATGGAAGCATTTCACTTGTATGCCCAGAACCTGGAACCAACAGAGACAGGAACATGTTTCTCATTGTTTACATTTGTGCTTAAAAAACAACTTCTTGTCACATGTAGCTTAGAAAATCTTAGTCCACTCATCTTTAATTCTTCTATACAGGAGTAGCAAAAATAAAATATTCAATATCTCTGAAACTACATGATATCCTATACAAAGTAAAGACAATGATGTTTTATTCATAAAGGTTTGACAGATCTTTCACAAAGAAGGAGGTGATAGAATTTAGAAATTAGAGGTGAAGTCTGGTTGCCCAGTTGATAGGCTAATTTCATTATCAAAGTTTCATTTCCATTAGTACCTTTCAAGATTTGTTCGTGTCCAATTTCTATTTTCTTTCCTGTTTTGTTTTTGTCTTTGCTGGTATTGTTTGTTTCTGAGACAGGTATGTAGGCCAAGCTGGCCTCAAATTCATGATACTCATGCCTCTGTTTCCAAAGTGCTGAGATGTCAGGCAGGTGCCATTGCATTCAGATCTTATTTTTCCACTTTTGTCTGAGTAACCAAAATGATCACATGTGAAAGTTTGTGTGTTTACATATATATGTACATATGTACCTGTACAATATATGTACATAAGCATATCCATATATACATACATATATGTATGTATATGTATATTATATATATATAGCTCTCCATGTGTTTTGGCATACTTACAAAAGATAAAGATTGTGTTGAACAAATAGTTAAAACATCTCCTCACTAGTCACTCAGGAATTGGGGCTAATCTTTCATTCTCCCTGCTGTGCCATCTCCAGAACTAGGCAATTCTGGACAATCAAAGCAATGCCACCAGGACAAATCACAAGCAATATCCTCTATGTTCAGACTCTCAGACAACCAACAACGTTCATACAGTTCTGTTTGCACAGTGTCTATGTTCATGTGCAATAAGTGGCTTGACATTCTACCTAGTAGTCCTTCAAACTACTGCATTCTCTAATCTGGGTGAGAGTGATTTTGAAGCTTGGCTTAAGTCAATCCAAGGCTCAAGGAGCAAACAGCATCATGTATACTTAGTATCATGAATTAAAGGGTAGAAACTTTGTGATCACAACAGAACCTTTCCATTTCTACCCTCTACACAGGCCTTTGAGTGGAAGAATAGATTTTTTTTAACATTTTAAGGATTATGTGACAGAATTATTTGCAAGTCCTCATGTCTAAAATATTGCTATCTGTCCCTTTACAGAGAAAGCTTATTAAATTCATATTTGAGAACATATTCTGGGATATTTTTCTAAGATTGTCACAATTGAACATTTCAAGCCTTCAATTCAGGAGTTTAGGCTACATTTTTCCCCATTACATTTAGGACATACTCAATCATATAGTTAAGTGGATATATGCCTCTTGGCCACATGATAAAGCACTATTATACAAAGTACAATAAAGAGTACATTTAGCATTGTGTTGTTAATATAAAGTACAAAGAGTACAAATTTAAATGCTCTTCTTCAAATAATCTTTGCATATATTATTAAACACTGGGTTTTTTTTTCAAAAAAAAAAATCCCGGAATGGGGAAAATGCTCAATGCTAAGAGAAAATGGCAAGGTCATTCCACCTATATAACCAAAGAGCTTTTAAGTTCTCAAATAGAGTGATGAAATTTCTATGAACACATTTTATTTAGAGTAGCCATTAGCAGCATACATGGTATTTTGCTGAGAGGAGGGAAACAGGTTTTTAATAGCACATGTGTATTATATAATCAATGATAGCTTGCAAAGATAATATGGAAATGCTTAGAAAACCAAACATATGAAATTCAAAATATTAGAATTATTTCCTTAAAATATATGCATATTGAGCCAGGCACTGGTGGCGCATGCCTATAATCCTACCTATTCAGGAAGCTGAGATCTGAGGATCTCAGTTCAAAGCCAGGCGTGGCAGTAAAGTCGAGGAGACTCTTATCTCTAATTAACTACCAGAAAAACCAGAAGTGGCATTGTGACTCAAGTGGTACAGTGCTAGTCTTGAGCTGAAGAGCTGAGGGACAGCATCCATGCCCAGAATTCAAGCCTCATGACCAACCAAAAAAATACACTCTCACACACACACACACACACACACACACATATATATGTATATATGCATATTATCCTGGGGTTGGTGATTACATAGAAACTGATTTCCATGTCATCACTGTACACTGGTAGAACTCATTTGACTCTAATTAGTGTAATGAGAGCCCTAAAAACAACAGTCCTTACTTAAGAGCCAACTTTAACAGTTACTGTGAATTCATAGAGCTAATAGTACCCATTTTTTGTAGAATAATCTATCAAGGAAGGCATTCACAACTATATATGGGGAAGTAGCCAAATGGACATATACAGAGGGCAGAGTGGATAGTAGCTAGACCAACGGAGGGGAAGAGGCAGTGTCAGATCTGCCGATGAGGGTGAGGGAATATGAAAGGAGCTACACATAGTCTGGAGTTCCTGAAACACAAGGGAGGCAGTGAGGACAGAGAGCTAGGGCACAGCATGAAGGGCTGCACAAATGAGTGGAATGACATGCACAGACATGAATATCTAGGACAACCGATGTGGCAAGCTGTAGGTCCAACAGTAGAGACTGTGATGTAGGCCAGGAAAAAAAAAAACCAGTCCCACTGAAGATGGATGCACATTGGCTGGAGGACAAAGTGCATGAGATCCAAAGAGGTGGAACTAACTGAATTTGGTATACTGTAACAAGATACTTCACTTAAACACATAAAAGGAAGAAATATTTATTTTGGCCCATGGTTTCTGGGTTAGTGTGGTAGTGCATCCACCTCCATAGCCGTGTGCTAAGGCACAACATCATGGTGCAGAGGGTGTGGTAGAGCTGAGCTGTTTACTTCACAGACTCTGAGACAGAAGGGTCTCCGCGCTAAGAGCTCCAAAGACTCATCTCCATGACCTACTTCCTCTAACTAGGCCCCACCTCCAAAAGCTTCTATTACTTCCCAATCAAGAATTCCATCAAACTACAAATCCATCAGGGTGCAGTCCACTGGTTAAGTCAGTTCCTTCTTAATCACATACCTTTCATCCACTGGACAGTTAAGCTGAGGACTAAGCCTTAAACTAAACATATGAGCTTTCAGGTTCACATCAAGCTGTAGTGCTGGGGATAAGGATGGGAAGGGAACACAGACTTATACCAAGAAGACTTGGGACAGTGCACATAAATGCTCAGGATGCCTGGGAGACAGAACTCAAGTTCAGATTCCAATGCATTGAATACGAACTAGAGCAACCATGAGTCAGAACCAAAAAAAAGTGCCTGTTTTCCACTAGGAGTCTATTTAAAGGAAAATTATCTTATATGTGAAAGTATAACCTATTTCTTTTCTAATATGTTTAGGATATTGTTACTTATGGTTAAAAAAAATGGACCGTGAAAGTTTGCAAGTAGCGTACTGATTTAACTAACTTATGGTGCATGCCAGTCCACTGAGTAAATGGCTCTATTAAAGCCTGTGGTTAAAAGAAGGTGGGACACCACTATGCTTTTGGCAGGACATTCAGCTTAAGATGCGGGACACAAAATTTTCATCATGGTATTATTACAAACATGGTTTTATAAGTACATATTAAAGAAAAAAGGATGAAGGAAACAGATCAAATGGCAGTGGTAGTTGGGTTTTAGTAGTTAAGGATAAAGTGAGAGATAATTTTGAAAACTTTTAAGATGTTTTATTTGGCAGTGCAGGGATTTGATCTAAGGGCCTTGCACAAGGCAAGTTCTACTACTTGAGCCATACCCCAGTCCCTTAAGTTTTTCAACTTTTGAGAACAATTTTAACATACTTTTTAAACTCTTAAGCACACAGTTTGAAAATAAATTATAGAATGTTGATTTAACAGTTATAGAGAGTATAGATATTATAGCAGACACGCTCTATTTCCACATCTTAAATGAAAATATGCCTTGGTAACTGTGCCACTTAGAAAGCTTAACTCCCCCCATCCCTGCCGTGAATACAATAGTCACAGAATCATAAGTAGAAGAATGAGAATTTTAAGGAATAAGAGTGAGTCCCATAACAGGAGGTGCCATCTCCTAGAAATGAGTTCTCAGTAGAACTACCTTGTGTTAGTCATTGCTGAGTGCTGACATTAAGAAGCAAATGCAAGCTAGGTATAAGATGTATGTCTCAAAATATAAATGATCTGATTTGTAATATGAACATAAATAAGAACTGAAAACAAAACAATGTTAAGTACCCTCTGTGTATTGTTCATCTTCCTAAGGGAATACATAAGTATCATTTTATGTGATATATATATATTTTTTTATGTGATATATAAATGCTATGTCATGGGGCCTGAACTCTGGGCCTGGGCGCTGTCCCTCAGCTCTTCAGCTCAAGGCTAGTGCTCTACCACTTGAGCCACAGCGCCACTTCCGGCTTTTTTCTTTTTGCTTATGTGGTGCTGAGGAATA